TGGACAGTCCGTCGATTACGGCTGAATGGCTTCACTCCTTATTTTCAAACTAGGCATCAGTGCAGACCAGTCCTGCATATGAAAGGAGTGAACAGCATGCTAGGCATTACTGAGACTTGAGCATAAGTTCAATGATATAAACGAAATCATTTCTATGTCATCATATTGGTGAATAGACAGACAAATCATACCAATCTTCAACTGACTTTCAGAGTGAGTATGAAGTTGTAATGATAATTACCGGCAATAACCAGGGAACAAATAAAATTATAGTTCTTGTTGGCTATTTAATTATGACAGAAACCTGCATATGAGGTATAAAGTACAGTTGCTTAGGTAAATAAATTGTCAGTGCAGTCCATATTCGTTTAGATTTCCCGGCTGTCAGCGTTACGCTAGATTCTTATTGGCTGTTAAAACTTTTAATGCATCAGAGAATTACTGCATTTTCAAGGTCGTTCTAACTGTTTATATACAGAGACAGTAAAAGCTCTGTCTCTCCAATCGACGTCCAGTCTTTTCTTTTTTCATTGCGTGCCAGAAGTGTTATTGTTGTTGGTGCTGTTGTTGCTGACATGCCATTAGGATAGAGTAGCCAGCTCATTGAGTTATTATTTGCTAAGAGTCTAGTAGGTTGCAGTTCCGGTCATAAGAGGTTAAACTGAAGTGAAACGCGTTTATCCTCACTTTCACATTTCTCGCGTGATACAGTGGTTCGTTTTCTAGAGCTGATTTATTTCCCTTTTAGTTTAAAGTGCAATGCCAAACCCAGCAGAAGTGGAGAAACAAGACAGACAACCAATCACTCTGAAATCATTTTGGAAAACTACAGCATTCAGCGCAGGGAACAATATTCAGATGCGTCGCGAAAATCGTTTCCCATAGAGAACTGCAAACTTAAATCAACACATGCCTTCACTGGTTCCATCCTGAAGACCAGATAGCCAACAAGAAACGAATAGCAACGAGGAAATCTGATAACAAGCCAGTCCAACAAATAGGCTGAAGAAAATGGAGGCTGGATTGGATACAGGCTGAAGAGACTGCTGAATAGCATCACACGTCAGGACAGTCCTTAAGTGGAACCGGATGAGGTGACAAAAAGTTTGGAAATTTGAGAGTGATTTGGCAGAGATCATGTGGTAAGGAAATCAAAGCCTAAGGATAAAGGTGGAGCCAGGTAGAAGGAAGCCTTTCAGAGAACAGAGTAAAATGACAATGGACTGCTGGAGATATATGTTCCAACTGGAACCCCAAAGGAATAATAATAATATGAATACGGCGCTTTGACTACACCAATGGGCTTTCTATCAGTTGTATAATATGTCTATATAGTGCCATATTTTTATTCCATAAGCTTGATTTTAAAAAAAGGTTAAATTCACTCAGTAGAATATTGATGAACATTAAAAAATGGTAACACTTCTTTGAAACGGATCAGTAACAAATTGCTATTCACCATAAATAGATGTATCAGTCGATGAGACAGACAAGAAGAGAAAGAACCAGCATGTATATGAGTTAGAGCAGATTGTAACGGGAGAAAACCATTCGGATAATCCCCCCTGGATGATTTAGTTACAACATTTACAGTTATTTTGACGTCTTAACCAAATTTGTAATAATTTGTCCACGAATTGATATCAGTTAGAGAACCACTGAAAACCAATTAGGGACTACTGGACAGCTGTTCCATCCTAATTTGGGAATCATTGGCAGTACGCATCCACTGAGTGAGGTTTGAACCCACGACCTTCCGGTTACATGGCAAACTGGCTCGCATAACATTCAGCCACTGGGACCTGATTCAGTGGCCAATACATGAATTCTAACCCCTACCAACTGGTAAAAACAAATTTGATCCTTACAAACCAAATCTTGAAAATTCGTAATAATTATTCGTTTTGAACCTATACTGTATATCGTTATTTTGATATTAGCATATCATCGTCTTTATCCCTGTTTAATCTCTCATTTGAATGCTTCTATTTGTGGTTGTGTGTACATTGGTAATGAGTTGAAAAATATGATATTTTTTTGAGTGAATGAAGGTCAGTCTGACCTTGGATTGTGTGCGATAATCATTTGGTGTGTGATTCCTGTGGACAGTGTTTGGATTCCACCCTGGGTGGAATAGTCAGCTAAATTCTAAGTGCTCATTTTGTACTTAAACTCAACTGTATAGCTGGCTAAAAGGCACTGTTGAAGTAATTTTGAGTTGTCGATTTTTGATTATTGTTTCACCGAACCTCAAAATTACTCCAGAATAATCCTCCATTTCCTACCTGAGGAGATTTTCATAACTGTGTGTGTCTCAAGCAAGCTGTCATCCGCTATACAGTAAAACTCAGAAATTGGTTTCTTGCCTTCAGACTGTGAAGAGTTGTCTGTTGATGATTACATTGTCATTGTTAATGACAAAAAAACTATCTCTTTCATTATTACTGTCTGACTGACAGTTGAATGGAACAAATCATGCGATGAAATGTGAAGACTAGAACTGTCTACAATGATGTAATGAAAAGAAAGGTTGGTGGGATGCCGATGGCAGGGAGTGGGTGGGTTGGGGCGGAAAGCGTAGATGTGGGCTTTGCGCATGACATCAACACCCTCATCTTCACCTGTTTTATATCTTGACATAATTATTAAGACTTTGTAGTAAATTACAGAGACTAAGGTGTTATGATATGTCGTCACATATTGACGATGTGTATGTATTTTTATCGCATAAATGCACAAAATAATTACATATTTGTCTGTCTCGACGTCTATGTGTGTCTGTATGTGAGCGAGTGAGTGAGTGAGTGAGTGAGTGTGTACACGCGTGGAAGTGCTTACAGTTCCCTTCACTAGATGATCAAATAATGATAAATTTTTCTTTAAAAAAGAGGTTCACGTAAAAAACCAAGTGATAATTTGATGAAAAAAACACACAAACAGAGAAACGAAGTTGAATTTTCCCTTGTGTGTGTGTTTCTTCTTATGAACAAATGAACTTCACAAGTGAAGATCACAGATACATAGATAGATACCCCCAGTATGAGAAAAATGTTATAATATGTCTCTGCTGTTGAGTGTGTGTGTGTGTGTGTGTGGTAAGGTGGGTAGGGGTGGGGAATGATGAAAACTTCAAGTCTAGACAAAAGTCACGCGAAAACCATCCCTTCCATCCCTGCATCCTTCCTTCCTTTCTAATTACCTCCAAACATGAAAACGTCATATGTCTCCCTCGTCCTCCACCTGCTGCTGTTGTGAGCAGCCCCATTTCCACATCTTTTCCAAAATAATAATAATAATAATAATAACAAACAATGATCGCTGAATAGATAGGAAGTAAGATAAGACCAGCCGTTCAACAGGCAACATTCTCAACTTGTGTGTGTCTAACAGACACACTTTGAGCAGATTATGTCAATTCACTGATAACATTTGTGTTGCACGCAACACGATGAGCTCTTCTAAGCTTTATTCAATTTGTTTATCGTTTTCCAATGTTGTTTTGATGATTAATTATCGTCATTGTATACATGCTGAGAGAAGATTTGAAAAAAACAAGGAAAACGAAAGGTGGCTTGTTTGATGATTCGCATTCAACCGTGAACTATGTATGCTACTAGGCGTGTTACTGTTTTTTTTAATCTTTTTTCATACCAGCCAAACTATCATAGCTCAAAATCAGATGATCAGATGAAAAATCAAAGTATACTGTGATCCGTCTGTTGTGCGTTTTCGCGCCCTTTCTCGTCTAACAAGTGCCCATCATACAAGGAATCATATTTTTTTTATTTTGATTATAGCTTGAAACCATACAGTATTTTTGATACAAGTATGGAATTTTTAGCATGTGATATCCATAGCCCAAATTTTTCAGGCCAACCATTGATATTAGGTGTTCGCCGGCAGGAGATCGAACCGCGGACCATGTGCATGGTCGGCGAGAGTACTAACCGCTGTCCTACTGATGCTGGCAACTACACTATGAATTTGACAGATGAAATAATAATGCTGTTTCGAATAGATATTAAAATCAAAATTAACTGACATAAACATCTTTTTTTTCATCCTCTCGACATCGTGCTAAGTCCCGTGATTGTAAGATGAAATTTATAGCAAAACGACGAAATAAATAAATAACCAAATACTGGGACTAATGACTAATTATTTTGGTTAGTGGAATCAAAGATGCGTATATTTCATCCTTATTCAGGACTGCTTAGTGAATGTACCACGGATTCCTAGTGATTTATAGTGTTTCCGTTGGGACTGAAACCGTGCAGGTATCGTTTCATATGCCAATATTCACTAGAAATTCAGGTATATGTGGCTAAAGAGTCCAAAACAGGACGAAATGTACTTGCTGGACTCCATCACTAGTCACCAATAAGCAAAAAATAACGTCAAGTTAAGCTCTTGACATGGTCAACGCGTCTGTACTAGGAGCAGACATGTTAAAAATTGGCCGTATAAAACAAAATTCTCCTTGTTCAAGGGTTGGTTTGTGGGGATTTGATTGATTGGTTACAGGATTTCATCATGAGCTGAAATCGTCTACAAAAACACTGGAAAACCTCCAGGGAGTACTGGACAGTCAGCTGTTTAGTCCTCATTTGGGACTCTTCATCAGTACGCTTCCACCGGGGTTCGAACCCAGGACCTCCTGGTTACAAGGCGAACTAGCTCGTAGACCATTAAGCCACTGGGATCCAATCCAATGGCCCATGAATTCCAAATTCTGCCAATTCACGACATAGCGCAACCACTAGCCAATGTCTTCGGCGAGTATTTGTCCCCACACCCGCCCATCTGCACCCTATCGGTCACTACTTTTCACTAGAACCCCAGTTAACTACCTACATGAATAGGGCAAGTCATTACTAATTAGTAGTATATAAGTAAAACGTAAAAAATGTTTGCACAGCTGATAATTCTAGGGAAAGAGGCAGTCGAGTGAAAATCAGTCAAAAAAGACCGCAATATGAAGTAAATTATTGAGAACTGACCTGAATCGCTTGGATCTTCAATTGACTCTGAAGTATGAAATTGCATACACATACTTGTTTTGCCAACTCGTGCAGTTCCAATCACTTGAACTTGAAGTAAACGATCCTCTAGTTGTATTTCACCACCAGATGGGGAATCAGGTTTATTCGATAAACTGTCTGGTGGACTATCAGAGACAAGAGCCCATGATTTTGATCGTAAACGTGTCTCTGGTCTAAATCCTCTCACTGGACTACTTGTCCTTTTACCATAGTATCTGTGTAGACCGTCATTTGAAGCTCTAGGCGAGTTAGCTAGTGTTGTAGTTATCGCTGGAATTTCAATCACTTCATCACTTAGAGAAGAATCAGACTGACGTCGAGCACTCTCAGGAATTGATCTTGGATAAGCTATAGATGCACGTGAATCACCTGATGGACTTCTTGAAGAGAAAATTTCAATCTGTGGAACATCACGATCACCTTTACTTATCACTTCACCGTGTTTATTCCGTTCGAAACGTCGAACGCGTAACATTTGTTCATCTGGTTGAGTTATTGAATGTCGACTTGGTGAATACTGGAAAACTGGAAAATTTGTTGGATGTAGTGTTGGAGCAGATGGTCTAGAGGTATGTCTCTCATGATTTTTTATCCTCCCGATACCTGTCTCTTTCATAGAACCAGGTCGATCACGTATTGTTCCAGGTCTATACATTGCAGGGGAATGTGAATATGATCCAGGCGATTCACGATTTGAATCTGGATTTGGCCAATACCTTGATGGATCCCCCCCTCGTAAACCGCTTGAATCATTCGTTTCATTTGCATACCTTTGACGTGGTTGTTGTTGTTGCTGCTGTTGTTGCTGTTTGTGTAGTTGTCGTGATCCAGAACTATAACTTGATTGTATCATTTCATTGGGATTATCCCATTGTTGACTAAATCTCATCGGTGATCTAGTCGCACTGATCTCACCACTGAAACTACTCGGTTGAATTGATTTTCTACGTCTAGGCTCACGAAAACTTGATGCACGTTTCAATGAATCCATATTCGGTGTAGACAAGTAGTCTGTAGCTCCTGGAGGTAAATTATTATTATTATTATTAATAATATTTCCATGGTATGCTGAAGGTTCTGTAATTTGTATTATAGGCGCCAGACTATCTCTTGGCGAACGTTGTGCTATGTGACAGAATCTTTCAAAATCATCGGAAATTTCTAAATCATCCATTTCTACGTGTGTGTGTGTGTATTTGTGTGTATGTAGGTATGTATTGGCGTGTGTAAGTAGACGATTAAAAGGTTTCCACGGTGTAATTCATCAAAAAAGAGTCATGTGTGTTGGGTTATGCCTTCATAGATGAGTCCAGTTACTGTATATATGATAGTATAACACTCTATTTCCTTATATATATCTATAACACTTCTTTAATAAGTGAGAAAATAAATGTTTTACAGTAAAAGGGCAAAAACTATAAGACCACCGACCAATCAAAAAGGCTTAATGTATATTTATGCGTGTGTTTGTGTGTATAAATACTGTTGACCTTAATCAACTAAAGTAAACATACGCACACACACACGCGCGCATGCATGCACGCACGCGCGCGCACACACACACACACCGTAAAAACTTCTCATATTGGGAAATCTATGCATGTAGGCATGTTTTGCATAGTGTGGTGGTGTATTTTGTGAACATGTCTGTCAAATTAAGCAAACACTATATCTGTCTGTATAGTATTCCACTTATTTTATTAGGGGCATAATTTATATATCTGATGAATATGCCTCTATTATTGAAATAAAGCTGTGAAATGGTTAACGTGTCATATCGTCAAACCTTTGCCTCCTTCCTTAATGGTGGAGGTAGGGTTGGTTGGGGTTGGGTGGGTGTGGAGGAGATGGATTATAGTTGGTTAATCGATGTCAGCAACCGGTTCACACATTCGGATGAATAACAGTCGTTTATACCAGAGACACATATGTCAAGATTTCATCTCTTTTTTTCAGAAAAAAGGTGTTTTGCGCTACACAAAATTTATTTTATAGACATGTTAGCTGTACAAAAAAAACACAATCGCTCTGTTTGATGTCATATGAACCGTGAAACGGTTGGAATGATTGACAGACTGATGGAAGTTTGATAATTGGGTTATTTTCAGGAATAAGTTTGTAGGGATTGATAGGCAAGTATGAGTCCGTGATCTAAACTGAAATAAATAGAATCGCTAAAAAACAAATTCTTGAAAATTAATTTGATGCCTGGTAGTTACTGACTACAAAACGAAGTTGCCTGGAGTTCTACTAAGAAGTTGTGACCAGTAGGGTCCACCCGCCGATGAAATTGGTTGGTGGTAGAAGTTAGAATTCATGTGTTGGCCATTAAACTGGGTCTCACTGGCTGAATGGTCTACCAGCTTGCCTTGTAAACGGAAGGTTGTGCGTTCGAAACCCGCTCGGTTGGTGCGTGCTGCCGATGAGTCCCAAACGAGGATGAAAAAGCTGTCCAGTACTCTCAGATGGTTTTCATGGTTGTCTAATGGGGTTATTCCTTGATAGCAGTCAGTATCTGTGTTTGTGTGTGTGTGTTGTTGGCTGGTTTTTGGTTGCTGATCTGTGTGTGTGTGATCTATATAGATCAGATGTGGTGTAGGAAATGACACTACTGTGCAGTGGTGCTCATCTTTTCTTCATTCACGAAAAATACTCAACCAGATATTTTTCCCATTCCTTCACGTTCCCAGTAGAACATGGCACTTCATTCAACAGACTTGAAGTTTCTGTAGCAGTGGTGATTACGTTTACTGGACAGGATTGTCAGCCTCATGTCTAACCTTTCCTGTTTAGCCGATTTATTACTAGCTTAGTGAGGTAAAGGAGTGCGTCCGTGGCCGGGGATTGGGCCCTGGACCACATGCATGGTCGACGAGTATCCTACCACTGTGCCACTGACTCACTTCAGAGAAGAGAAGATTCACTTTTGGTGAATTCACTCATTTTAAGAGATACATTCAATCAATATTCAATAATGCATGTTGAAACAGTTAGTCCCTTTGATAAATTTAAATAAGCCATTAAAAAGACAAGCATCACGAGATGATATCATTTTTGGTAGTCCCTTTATGATCACTTTACAACTATCATGGTTCACGAAATATTAAAATAAAATGTATGACAATTACTCTGTCAGAAAAAATAAAATCACCGATCTACTGGGATTGGAACCCAGGATCTTCCTCCGGTTACAACTTAAGGTTGTAGATTATTCAGCCACTGCAATCCAACTCAATGACCATCCCATACAGTTTTATCAATTCAACCACTTCGTGATCTTAAGTATACTTGTTACTGACTGGCTAGAGGTTTGAAGGTATCCGGAGTTAATTCTAGTGAGAAGTGGTGACCAGAGTGATTCATCCGGTTGGACGTGCGGGCATATATGGATGATTTAGACTTAGTTGTATTCTCAGCTAGCTCAGAGAAGACCACTAAGACAAAGAGACAGCTTTCATTGATACGGAATCTATCTTTTCACGTGGCAATCTCGTGAAATGAAGTAGTCTGGATATCTGTTAGCCAGTGAAATTGAATGTTTGCGCCATATCACATTATTAATATGTCCCTTGTGCACATTTGACAGGCGTTTGTACTTTTGTTTTATATAACTGAGTAGTTGTCATGTTTTATCATAATTCACTCTAATTATAAAAAGGATTGTAAGGAAATGACGAAATGAAATCATCTCACGATATTTGTCTTACAAATATATTCAGTTATATAATTAATTTTTGTATGTATGTATGTATACATTCAGTTTATCGAAGATGGTATATTAATTCATTAGTCTGATGTACCGTGTACATAATCAAGATGTTTCTGAACAGTGAAGACTAGTCAGAATGTAACTTGAGGAAGGGTGACAAATACTGAGTTCAGACTATAGGTTGAGTATTACGGAAAAGTTCATGAAAACTGGCTAGTAATGAAAGCGCATAAAGACAAACTATTACGGAAAAATTGTTTAGAAAGTACTTCCTAAACTATCTAAACACAATATTTATGCTTATATGAGTGTTTCAAACAACTTTGTAATTACTTTTCTATTTTTCTCCTACACCGTAAATATCACTGTCCTGAGTATTTGGATATCATATGTTGACCTGATCCGAGTTCTTTGCCTTCGTTCCTATTTAATCTACAATTTTAATGCTTTTCTTTTGCTTGTATGTGATGGTATTGATAATATGTTGCTTTACGATTGCGATTTTGTTTGAGTGAATCAGCGTGAGTGATTCTGACCTTGGACTGTTTGTAGGAATTGTTTGGTGTGTGGCTTTTGAGTACAGAGTAGTCAATCCCACTTTGTTGGGAATATTCAACTTGATTTTCAGGTACTTCTTAGGGTTTATTGCTGGGTAACTAATTTTGTGCTACAGTACTTGTTTTGCGTTTTGAAACCTACATTAGCAAAATAGCTGTTTAACGGCACTGTTGAGGTCATTTTGAGTTTGTGGAGTAGAACCACACATGAATAATCGTGTTTTTTGCTGACTTTGGAGCTTCTTTTATTGGTCTCTATTGGTTGGAGGATTTCATCATGAGCTGACATCAGTTAAAAAACTGTTAGAAAACCTGAGAGTACTTGAGAGCGACTTCGTCCTCGTTTGGCACTGTTCATCAGCACACACCCACCTCAGTGAAGTTCAAACCCAGGACCTTCTGACCAAATGGGTACGTCGTTGACCATTAAACCACTGAGACGCAGTCCAATGGCCCAAGAATTCTAGTTGGAAGCCATGACCAATAGACCACTGAAGGTCGAAGAATAGGATAGTTACTCATCGAGGAAATGGTCGCGCATTAGCAGAAGTTGGAATTCATGTGCTGGCTATTAGATTGTATTGGTTCGCAGTGGCTTAATACTCAACGATGTAACTTGCCTTGTAACCAAAAGGTCTTTGGTTCGAACCCTGGCGGTGCGTGCGTACTGATGAATAGTCGCAAACTAGGACAAAACGCTTGTCTGTCCAGTACTCCCTTAAGGTATTTTAGTGGTTCTCTAACCGATATCACCTCATTATGAAACCCTCCAACCAATCAAAGAAAATCCCTACAAAAGTAATACTTGAAAATGTGTGTGTGTCTATAGAAAGTTGTACAGTAGGATGCAAGGACCGGTTCTCTGAGTTTAGAATAGAACTAGTAGGTTTCGGTCGCTACACAAGTATCAGAAAATATATTATGTAACAGGTGAGAGGTGTGAACAAAAGGTTTCTTAAAGAAAATGATTTTGTCTGAATAAAGCTAGAACAACTGCGGTTTGTGCAGAATATAATATGCTACCGTCATTGTTTATTTCGTTGGCTTCGCATCACCTGCTGCTTACAGCCTAAATAAATTATTACTATTATTGAGTTCATGCACAGGAAAATTTCAACATACCTGCGAATTTTACATGATATCAGTTGACAGGAGGTTCTGGACTTAGTGAACAGTGCTCAGAATATTACGCTTATATAGTTTTCACACATTGAGTTCAAGTTTAAACAAAAAATCAGTGTATGCATACAATGGTAATAATAATGGTAAAAATAGCAATCACTTTACACCAAACAATAACAATCATACACAATAGAATTTCCAGTGTTACGTAATGAAATGAAACAGATAGAATAAAGACATCCAGTTACCAGTTGGGCAAGGAAGGACTAATAACTGCTTCTTTCTGAACATGTTAATCTGTTTTCAGTCGTTTGATAAAGATTAATTCGGCAGACTTGTGGAGAACTGTGCTTTTATATATTGATAATTTTTAAGAAATTTCTGATTTCCACCTCATAACCCGTGTCAAGGAGATGTCTAGCAATGTCACAATTGTAGAAGTTTGTTCCCTTGAGAAGTAAGCTTTTTGGTACATGTTCAGAAAACTGGAGGCATGCCCTTCTTTCTGTTCTACCGAAGTAACTGCTTCCGCAGATACGTGTAAATTTGTATACACAGTTGGAGTTAACATGAGAAGGGCATCTGTTGACTTTTGACTGCATCAAAGAGCATATTGTCCGATGGATGGGAACCAACTTAGCTGTAGGATAGGCTCAATAGTCAATCTTTCCTTGCCCACCTGGTAACTGGACGTCTTTATTCTCTCTGTTTCATTTCATTACGTAACACTAGAAATTCTACTGTGCATTATTGTTATTGTTTGGTGTAAAGTGATTACTATTATTATTGTTATTACCATTGTATTTTTGTTTAAACTTGAACTCCCTGTGTGAAAGCTATATAAGCGTAATATTCTGAGCACTGTTCACTAAGTCCAGAACCTCCTGTCAACTGACATTATGTGAAAGTCGCAAGTATGTTGAAATTTTCCTGCACATGAACTTAATAATAGTAATA